TAGTCATAATTTTTATTTAAATTGCGTTAATTTACGTATGCCATTCAGTACAACTTGCACATTTAAACTTTGTCTAGTCAAATTCCTACCTCAGTTTTATTTGCATTGATTAATTTGTTTCATTAAGTACAATATGCAGTATACATTGTTGATACTATAGTACGCATTTAGTGTTATCACGCATAAACAAAGTGATAAATCAGCAACAATCCAGAGGATAAAATGCCATGCGTACGACAGAGATGGTGCTGTTTGCACCTTTTCTCAAGACCTCTAAATTTATACCTGCCTGCATATCTATATATATATTATCTTTGACCCGGCCTAATCCTAGGCCTATTTGACCGACCTCACTGGCTTAGTCCACCGTGCTGTGGGCGGTAATGTAAACACAAGACCGATGTCGAAGCTTGAAAAGGGATCCATCTTTCATATATAAAATCAATGAAATATTCTGGTCAAAGGAAACTATTATGTGAATTATCAAAATTATCAAAATTTAATGGTTTTAACCTCCTCGGATATTGAACGAACACTGATGCATCTATTCTTGTTTACAAATTCTGCCTTGAGAGAACTGGTTTCAAAGATGATCTTCTATGGACTACAATTCTACAATTCTTATTCAATATTTATGTATGGACATGGTGTGTATTCACCATCGATCACTAAAGTATAAAACTATTCCGTATAAAAAAGTTTTGAACTTTTACTATGTAACTGGATAAATTAGTTTTTCTTATACTTGCGCATATAATCAAAACTTGATGAGCTACTATAAGGGCACAAAGTCACATCAGTAATGTTGTATAAACTTCTGCTTAGTTTAGGCGGTCAAAAATTACAATTTTAATTGATTTAATTTAATTAATCTTGTTTTTTTTGGAAGTTTTAACTATATATTTTATTGTTCTTTTTGTTTTATTTGATATATACATTTTTTTACTTACTATTACGGGGAATTACCACAAAGGATGAGACTTTAAATCCTAAAACCTAAAACTCTTAAAAGACGCACGTGGATTTAACGGTTCTGTCAATATTTCAGAAAATTGTGACTTTCGATCACAATTTGACCCCTTTTACATAATTTTAGAGCATTTTATCATAAATATTTTTTTGTTGGCATATTCATATGAATTAAAAAGTATAAAATAAACAAATCTGTAAGTATAAAGACTGTTGAGGTATAGACAAAAACATATTTGATTTAAATAAAAGAAACCGAATGCTTCTCTCTCTCGTTAGTTCAGAGTGGACGATCTGCAGATTGAATGTGGTCCTGTAAAAAGGTCTTAAAGGTCCATACATAATGATTTAGCACAAATATAAAAGATAAGTTTATAAAGGGGAGGTTTGACTTTGACCCCCCCACCCCACGATTCAATCCTGTCGCGCCCGTATACCTCCGAATCCGATTATGATAAATCTATTCCTTAGATTTAAAGATTGGCGCCATAATGTTGAATTGATTATTTTACATCTAAATATGTTTGTATATACAAGAACTGTATATATACATGTATTGTATATATACAGTAAACAGGCCTCAGTTGGGCCTTAAAGCAGTATTATATACAGCACATCAGTACGCAATACCCATACAGGGGGCGGGAGGGGGGACTTTATAAACCTTTTATAAAAATCCATCATTTTATTTTTCATCAATTTAATTTAATTATTTTTCAAATAAGTCTTCTGTAAGTGTGTAAATATTCCCCTGATAAAAGCCCTGGCGACAGCCCAAAAATGTTGTGTAGACGAAACATGTAGAGAACTGAAACAGTCCAGGGGAACGTAATTTCTACAAATATTATTTCCCGCCAAAATTTTAAAAAAATTGCGCCAAAATTTGAATCCAAGCAAAATAAATAAATTTGACAAAAATAAATAAAAATCCCCTGTGAGACTTTATACCTGTGCAGTTATGTGTTGTGTGTCTGTAGTGTGCAGTGTGTGTTTGTCAACACGCAGTTTCAGTAAGACTAAGGCCGTGCAATGCAAACAAGCCACTATGTGTGCTTAATAAGCTCAAGGCAGTATACTGTAATAAATCTAGTGAAAAACCATACATTATACAGTGTGCTTTAAAATACAGAAAAATGGATTTCAGAAAAAATTGTGTTCCTGAATGCCTTAATGAACATATATTATATTAGATTATCTCCAAGCTTTAACGCAAAAACCTAGTATTTTCTGCAAAAATAACTGAATCTTTTTAAATTTTCTGTCTAGTCCCTTTAATCGCCATTTAGAGCTATAAACGTTCTTGTATGATGTGGGACACCCTGTATATCTGATAATTACAGATGTTTATTGTCTATTATTATTAACGATATATAAATCATATTCTTAAATATTATTGACTTAAAATAAATGCACGAATAATGATAATAAAAAATAAATTTAAAA